GATCCTGATTAGGGGGTTGGGAATAGTGTTAGAGGAGCTTCTTTTCTCACCTAGATAAGATTACATTGCAGATCTTTAATCTGATGACTTATGATCTCATTGTACGGTGCAGCAGATGCTGTGCTTGTAGAGCTAAGGCATTTGTTCTGCAACTTTCAAAGTCAGATTCGAGGATTAAGAACTGTCCTAAAAGAACGTTTGAAGGCAAAGTTCCATTGGCTGCATAAGTTAAGCCAGGTCTGGGTTACTGAGAACATAACTGACTTATACTTTAGTTTTGCTGTTATTCTTTGTCCATTTTCAGGGTCTCTGCCCATTTGATACTGGTTTTAGAGGGCATTGCACATGCATGTTCATTAGCCATTCACTCATTGGCTATAATGAAAGAGGGAGTAACAAGCTCAGGTCCCGAAGCACAGAATCAAGCAATATTAAGTGTTCGTGTTTGATATTAAGCTTGCAGATGCAAACATATTTTTCAAGTGAAACACCTGTTCCACACAATATGCGATAATGAGAGTTATAGGAACACATTTCATTCTGGAATGTGTGCAAACACTGTGAAGCCCGACACCAGCCTGCTAGTGAATGGAACTTTGTGTAGTCAAAGGTGTAGCCATCGCCCACTGATGATAATATCATGGCTTTACAAAAAAAAACAAACAAAACAAAACAAAAAAGGAGCTGTAAATTACAACGGCGTATTAGGGCCACTGTTAATAAAAGTAAAAACAGTAGACTTTGAGAATAAAGTCGTAACATTTTGAGAATAAAGTCGTAATATTTTGAGAAAAAAAGGCTTAATGTTTCGAGAATACAGTCGTAATATTCCGAGAAAAAAGGAGGAGGATAAAGTGAGGATAAAGTAGCCGTGTAGACGACCCTGCCTACAATTATCCTTCAACAAACAGACAAAGTTTCAGCGGTTTCTTATGCTAATAACAGTCTGGTGTTGATGTGCCGAGAGAGACAGAGAGACTTTCTTTATGGGTGAAATTGATATGAAGGTCCTCAACACGAGGAGGTGCTGCCTTCCCTTTGCAAAGCCTGTGGCCACAATATTGCGATCTTTCCTGGTAATAATGCCACTTTAATGTCATAATCCTATGACTTTTTTCTCGTAATATTATGACGAGAAAATAATATATTTCTCGTAATATTATGACGAGACGTAATGTATTTTTTTCTTGAAATATTACAACTTTATTCTCGAAGTCTCCTTTTTTTATTTTTATTAACAGTGACCCTAAAGCGCCGTTGTAGTAAACACATACAACACAGAAAATTTGATACTTGAACTTAAAAAAGTTAAATACTGGGCTGCCTTAAAATTTTGAGTTAATTGAACTTGTACTGTTAAATTTACAAAGCAAGGATCTGTGCATTAACTCTGTAGCTCATTAATTGATATATATATATATATACACACACATATATATATATATATATATATGTGTATATATATATATATATATATATATATATATATATATATACACACACACACACACACACACACACATATATATATATATATGTATATGTGTATATATATATATATATCTCAAATAATAAGCTATTTTTTAAGCCCCTGTTCATATTTCTTGAGTGAAGCCATTCCGTGCGTGGAAGGCTGCTGCATGACTTGATAACTTGATAACTAGCACGGCAACAGGCTTCATAATTACCTAACAATGATTCTGTCATGTGAGAGCAAACACAAAATAATAGCGCTGAAATTGGAAATCTCCAGTGCAAAACAGAGGCAGCTTATGTGGTTACACATTTTTGGACATTGGGCTCAATTTTCAACACAGTTCTCTGGAAAATAGGCTGAGCAGCAGAGAGGCTTACGCCACATTTACATTTTCATGGAAAATGCGCGTTATGCCCCACTAGCAGCTACTCTAGAGCTCAGAATGGCAGACTGCCCATCAGAGGAATAAACACTCATGTCATATAACAAATTATTGAATAATTCAAGACTATATGATTTTCAATATTCTCCATTTTTAAACAGCATCAGGATGGGAAAAAACTAGCCTACAGTCATTGGTTGAATGTTTCGAGATCAGCTCACAGCACAGCCAAAGTTCACTAAATTTGAAATTTTGCTGTTTGCACACCACATTTCTTGGCACAGGACAGAACAAAACAAGTCTGTTCCAATGAATATCAAAGACTCGCACAAAACCTTATGCTGTGATAATATGAATAGTGGTAACTGTCCAGAATATTATTGTTGTATTATCAATAACAGCTCGTTTCTGGTGTCCTACTTCTGGACTTTATGGCTGACTGTTTGGAAGCAAGAGCACATTGAACAACAAATTTTTCACTCATGTTTTGTATTTTTTTTATTCATGTTTGTTTTTTTTTTGGTCAAATGCATCAAGATATATATCGCTATTGTTAGGTGGAAACCTTGTATCTCCAAAATGAGAACTTTAAAGGAAAAGGAAAAAATCTTCTTTACTTTTAATGTAAGTCAGTGGAACCAGAATTTTGGGTCATTTTGGGTCATTTCTTTTATTCATCATGAAATTTACATACAATGTAAAGGGCACAGGCATTTTAAAGTTATGTCAAAAACTGAAAAATGTCAAATATGGAGATACAAGGTTTTCTTCAGACAGCAGCGATAATATATATATATATATATATATATATATATATATATATATATATATGTATATATATATATATATGTGTGTGTGTGTATATATGTGTATATATATATATATACATATATAAGTATATATATATATATACACACACTTGATATATTTTTTACTGAACATTTTGTGAACAAACCAGTAGCCTTTGTAAATCATGGTATTCAGATGGCCGACCTGATGGATATTAAACAAGTAAGTGGGACCTAACTGAGTGCTATTATCTAATAGATTTCGTGGCCTGTGGTTTGGAACGGAGGTATGTGTAAGCAATAGTCAGTCTGTGGGTGTAATTCGGGCCTGTTGTGTAGTGGACCGTGACCAACTCAGTCCCTGCACTCTGACTGATTTCCGTGGGAGGGGCCGCTCAATCGATTGCTTTCTGATGGGCGGCGATCGATAGGTCATCATCACACATAGTTGTGCAATGGAGCTACCACTCACCCCTCACGCTTGAGTGATCGGCCTGCTTTGAATGGGGGTGAATTCGGGGGGTGGGGGCACTAGTGTAATGCAAGTGGGTCCAACCAGGTCTCTGTATTGCGCAGCATGGTACAGAGCTATATATAGAACACCTCCTTACACAGTGCAACTGCAGTGGACCGGCCAGGTATCATTAGCAAGATGTGATTAGACTCATGTACAGTGATTTTATTATTTCTTAAGAACAGCAACAAAGCAAAATTAATAATACTTACAAAAACAAGGATTATAATAATCTCTGATTTGTTAATCCATGACAAAGACATATTCGACGTTGCAGCTGCTGTAGATAGGATGCTCTAAATGCCTCTAAGAGCAAAAAGGGATTTTTCAATCTGTTGCATGTAAAACTGGGGCTTTGGCAGAGAACCAGGGTACAGTGCCTGTGTTTGTGTTTATGTTCCTGTGCATATGCGCTCTAACACCTCAACCACATGGGAAAAGCAGCTGATAGGATGAAATTAGGTTAAACATAGTGTGAATCTGAACTACAGTGGACCTGATAAAACAGAATCAGGCTGTTAGATCTGATTCAGATAGACATGTTTGAATCACACTGATAAATTAGAGTCACAGTGATAAAACACAATCTCTTATCCACTTTTATTTTGAAGTTCCTTCCAAATTTTCTGTTTTATAATATTCCCTTAAGTAGTGTGCGTTGGTGTGGCATAGGGGAGATGAGGACCTTTTTAATAGACTAGCTGAGGATCCTGGTGGGTATTGTCGGCTAATTTGGAGGAGTGTCACACTGCGATTGATAGCACGGGTAATGTGCGCTGCATAAAGAGGTTACGTATCAAGAGAGACAGATGACAACCTACCTCATCTCTCTATCTCTCCGGTTCTCTCTCTTTTTGCTCCATAAATAACTCCAGAATAAATGAGACCTATGTTGAGCTTTCATCTAGGCCCTGATGAGGAGTTATGGAATTATGTGAGCAGGGAGTTCGGAAGGATGAGAGGAGTCTTATTTTTTGCAGAAAGATCCTGTTAGCTGCATGAACTGGCGCACTCAATAAATGTGTTCTCAGAACAGCAGCAGGTGGCATCAGCAACAGGCATCCAGAATAGACCAGCAAACGGGCATGGCGTTTTTAACATGTTGCGTCCAATCAGTAGACTTCACATTAGACTTTTATTGGAGGCTGATGCCTTGTGATGTTCATGCCCTTCTGGGCTGAACAATTTGGGAAAGATATCTAATTGTGATTTTTCTAGGCAGTATTGTGATTTAAATGTGCTTCTTTTCCATAAATCCAGCTCCAGGCTTTTTTTAATCCATTTTTCTTTACTTGGGGCTTGAATGCTGAATGTAGAATACCAAATTGCCACAATTCACAAGCTCTTAGGTTGAATTTCCCCACTTAAAACAGTATTTTTTTAACATCTTAACAATACAGGTTTATTTCATAAAAGGCTCATTAGTTGGTAACTACAGGGACTTCAGTGCAAACTAATGGAGCTTTTTAGGGTATAGAAGTGTGTAATAGAACTTTGGGCCTGCTGGCAGGCCTGTGTCTTGTAAAGGTGTTAAACTGAGATTTGAATATTGTCACTATCCCCATCTAGGCCCACCCAACTGATGGAAATCCAAAATGATACTAGATTTAGCATCTTATGATATTTTTTTTTTTGCATATCTTCGGTACTCGTAAACCTTTCCATCCCATCGAATGTACTTAATGTTCATGTGATAAATTTACCAGTTGCTCATGACCACCCGAGTCCATTTGGTGATTTTCTGACTTTGCGTTAACAAGAACCGTTCAAGCGTATTGTTTTATCTCTGCTGCACTGAGAAAACTCACTCTTTGTTTTTGTGCCTCTGGTTATCTCCAGCTGCAGAAGCTGAAGCGTTCGCTGTCCTTCAAGACCAAGAGCCTCCGCAGCAAGAGCGCTGACAATTTCTTCCAGCGGCCAAGTATTGACGCTAAGTTCCAGACCGATCTTTTGTCTGAGGTCAGCAGCAGCACTGGTCACCTGAGCACTATTGGAGTATCTGTGTCATCTTCGCCTTGCGTTGCACCTCTGGCCCCGCCTCCACCCCTACCACCCCCTGTCGTCCCAAGCGGAATGCCTTTGACAATCTGCTCGCCCTCCCGGGCTCCACGGCCGCCTGACCCCACGGCGCACACCTTCCTAGAGCACATGTTTAAGAAACCACACTTCTGCGATGTCTGCAATCATATGATTGTAGGTAAGAGGAATCAGCTTGTACTTTCTCTCATACTCATGATCTCTGAGCTTTTGACAAAGTTCCCTCACATATGGAATACACATGATTAACACTTACAGATTATATATAGCAAATGCTGAAGTACAGTGGGATCACGTGCTTTGAAAGTGGTAATTTAACACTGTTGGAATTCTTCTCACTTCATCTGATTGAGAATGCACTGTATACTGTACATATGACAGCTGGCCAGAAACTGAGTTATTTTTGTTCCGACTGTGTTATTTTTTTAGCACATAATGGATTATAAAACTAAGCTTTTAAGGCTGTTTTTAGTCAGTGGAATAGTCCTTCATGACTTTTTTCCTAATGCATTACGCTTAATAGTGTAAAAGAACTGGACTAATCTTCTCCCGTGTACTTTTTCACAAAATCTTTGGCAATTCAGTTGGTGCTGTGCTCACTCAGCTTTGAATGAAGACGGAATTGCTCTCTAATAAGCAGTAAAAGGGCACACTTAGAACTGTATTGCAGTGAGAACCTCATGCCATAATAGCCGTATTTGTAAGCAGCCCTCAAATACTGTTTGAGCTGATATTGCGTCAGAAGTACTTTATCATCTGAAGTGGCCCAGTATGAATGCATGATATGAATATTTGGAATTTTCTGTGGTTTTAGAGCTGCGGGTTAAATTTGGCCCATGCCAGCTTTTTAAGCTCACTACTGAAGGAACATATACTTACTCAGCCCAAACTCTCAGACACGTTACGCATGGTTTACATTTGCATACCTTAAATGCAGCATTACACATAATGTTGCAACCTCTAGAAAAGAAAGTGGCAAGAAGTGTGTTGTAGGCCGGTTACAATTATTGGATAAGGATTTTTTCATCTAGTGCCAATTACTTTATCACTGAAACACTTTGAGTATGAAATATATTTAACAAGCGAAACACACCTCTGATGCCAGTAAAACCACTTGTATCAGTAACGTTAGCACTAGAAGAAGCGTTTGGCAGACTACGCAGCTTGAATGGTGCTGTTGGGAGAACTATGGATTAGTCGATAGTAAAATGAACACAGTTCTCCTCGCCGCTGTAACAAGAATCCACAAGCTATATGAGAGTGAGAGGCCTACAATTATGGAAGAGTTGACTGTCTGATACATGATATATACAGTCATTGTTTGGAACTGTTGTTCTCACTGGAAACTGAAAATTGGAACTGTGTTCACTCTATGGAAATCATGTAATTTATATATTCAGATTCACCCTGCATTCACACAGTGTTTACAATAATAATTGAATTGAACTGAAAGTAATACATACGTTCTGATTATTCAGTGATTATTTGATAATACAGTTAATATCAATTAATAATCTACAATTATTTTATTTGACAGTCCAAGTATATAGCTCATTTGCAGAGAAAAATTTCCAAGTGCAATAATACCTAGACTTATTTACATTTAGCACAAAGAACTAGAAAAGTAGAAAGTGAATAGTAAGTACCAAAGATGCATAAATGTAGATACACTGCACTGCTATGGCTGTTTCATAGGTCAGGTTTAAGCTGAAGAGTTTTAAGAAAGGTGGACAGATGTGGACAAGTTGGGCTTTAGGACGTAAAACGTTCTGTCAAATTTTCCTTCCGTCTGTTCGCTTAAACAGGTGAATTATAATATTATACTGCTCCTCTACAAAGCATCCAAGGGTTTGGGATCGTTTGTAGAGGAAGAGTAACATAATTCAGTTGATTTATTCACATTATTTAGTCAGAAGGTTGAAAGAAAACTTGCAAGACTTTTCCCTTCTGATGCTGAACTTGCCCACCTCTGGAGATGGAGCACTTAGGACCCAGTAGAGAAGCCTGCCCCACCCCTACAAGCAAGGACAATAAACAAGTGATTTTTTTTCCCCGTGAGCATGTTTTGATCAACTGTAAATGAAGGACATGGTAGGGGTCCTGAGTTTGAGGGTGTGGTTGCTTCACCAAGGTGTATTTTGGAGGTATTGTGGGGATGAGATCCTTGTGGCTTGGAAAGCAAGGACAAGATCTTTGCTGCCACAGGAAACCAGTGGAGGGATCTCAGTAAGGGAGTTACGTGAGAGAACTTTGGCTGGTTGTAGACCAGGTGACCAGCCGAGGTCTTGAGGCTTTGTAGAAAGGCCTTGGCAGATGAAGGAAGACCAGCCAGCATGGAGCAGCAGTAGTTCAGGCTTACTTGAGAACTTTTGGCAGCCTCTGATGTCAAAAGTAGTGTAGTGTAAAACACTGTAAAGCATTCTTGCCCAAGCACTGCTTTACATTTACACACAAAGCATATGTTGTGCCTCCAGTCAGTCTTGCGGCTTCCCTCTGTTAAACTGAATATGGAGCAGAAGGAGCTGCTCAGACTTCAGGCGATCCATGTGGTTTGGGACTGTCTCCATAATGTAGTTTTTTCAGGAACCTTGTGTAAAGGGGTCAGCCGGTCTGAGTCAAGCTGATTGTGTTGGATGTAGGGGCTATCAGGCTATCACAATGCCCATGTCCCACTTTTTGTGTCTGCATTTTGGGCACCAAGCCAGCTAAGACCACCAGGGACATTACATAAGAGCGCCAACCTATTGACGAAACAAGTAGATTCTCCAAAACCATCTGTTCCATAAGCATTAAAATTTTCTGTGTGGTAATGTATAAAATGATATTGTTTTGTGTGGGTGTCATGTTTATACAGTGATAGATAATGTTTTACAGCTAATTGCTGCCAGAGCAATTTAAAAGCTTGTAAGTCTTGTTTGGGCACAATTTACAAGCAGATCAGCCATTAATAAAACATAGCAAGGGCACCGTGGCTTCTAGCTGCTTGATGTTACTCTAGGCACAGTCTGCTCCAAAAAGCACACAGTAAACATGAACGTGTCGTGGTCTCCCGAAAATAAGGCTGATGATTTTTTTTATTCACAGATGGAAAGCATACAGTTTAAGAAGACTGATTTAAGGAGAAGTGTTAAGCAGGAACATCAAACACCATTTCTGAAAGCGAATAAACTAGCAGTGTTAAAGTTAACATGTTAATGTGATAGTTTCACCCTGAAGCCTCACTTATCGAGCGCTGTATGTTTTTTTTCAGCCCTATATGGCTATGACTCTATGGTTATATTCCTCTCTTCAAATACAGCTTTTAAATGGCAAGTTCCATTATATCTCCCTTGATAAAACCAGAGTTATTTTTAGCGACTCTAATGCTGTGAATTTGTCCAAAGTATCATTTATAAGAAAAACACATCACTGATGTGGCAGTATCAGTATTCAGACTACACTGGACAATGCTCATGGGAGAGGAACTAACAAAAGTAACAACTAAGCTAGAGTTCCCCTCAAAACAAGATGTACTGTCATGGTGTAAGTGGAAGAGGCTACAGTCCTAGAAGAGTGGGAACATCAGAGCCTCTGTTGCTCTGCTGGGAGTGTTGGGAATCAAGGAAATCAAGAAAAAAAATTCTGGGTTTTATTAAATCACCCAAGAATTTGGTAACAGTTTGGTGGGAAAAAACATGCTAATGGGAGCCCTTTACCTGAATTGCTGAGGCAGGCTTCTTTCAGTGGTCACTCATCTGCTGCTGTGTAGTCACTTGCAGTCTGATTTAATGTTAGTCAACATTATTATTGAGAGAGTGGAAGGAACTGCCGGACTCTCGGTGTAATGATAGCCTTTAATCTTGATTTAGCCTTTAGTATAGCAGCCGGCAAGCCAGGCCTGTGTGTCCCTAGCACTACCTGAGGTGCGCCTCCATCGGTCAGCTGTAAGTGCCAGTGAGTAAGACACACGTATGAGAATTGAAAAATTCAGATGTAAAACAACATTCAGCATCGTTTTCGCTGAGCCAGAGAAACTTTTGTGTGCTTATGAGTAAACGCTACGTTTCACTATACACTGTTCAGTTCTGTTTTTAACTGTTTTGCACCATAAAGGTATTTTACATTAACTTATGTTGTTAGACATGGTTCTTATTACAAATTAATAATAATAATAAATAATAGTAAGTACTAAATATATATAGTGAATAAACAAAAATAGTTTTTAAGCATCTAATATATATATATATATATATATATTAGATGCTTAAAAACTATTTTGTTTATTCACTATATATATTTAGTACTTACTATTATTTATTATTATTATTAATTAGTATACATATTAATTAGTATATATAATCCAACAAGTAAATGTGATCTAGTCAAGCTGAGTATGTTTTATTTGTGACAAAGAACATACATTTTACTAAAATAAAATATTTTAAGTGTAATTGTATAAATATCAGGACGCAGGACGATCAGAAACCGAACTACAGCTGCTCGGCTAACTTGTGTCACACTGTGCACTGAAACTAAAACCAGGCGCTAATGTACATGGCTAATGTACATTGTACCTCCCAGTTCTATTCAGTAAAGTTGTCATATGTTGACTTTAATACTGCAAATGTCGACTTTTTTGCCTCCGTTTAGCTAGCCTATGTGTCTCCACCCATGTTGGGGAAGTGGTTGTTATTGTGTTGGTGTGCGCTTAAAAATTGGCTAAAATCACATAAATTCTTGCCAGGAATTTGCCAAGTGACTAAGCACGGCATCGACAACACTCCTCTGTGCAAGCAGACTCTCTTTCACTGCCAGTGTACACTAGGCTTATGTCACGTGGTTATCAGCTGGTATCGAATGTTGGTGTCGGTGCATTTTTATGAGTACAAGTAAATGTGATGATACACGTATCGGGCCAATACCCTATACTAGTATCGGTATCCCTGCGTCCCTAATAATAAGAATCATGATAATTGTGTTTTGTTCAGTTACTCTCTGTATTTCCCAAGTTTCAGCTAAAAAGAGATGTGCACACATTTTGTCTGATGTTGGCATGAATATGCCTAAGCTTTTCTCTGCAGTCACTTTTGATATATTCCACCTTTCATGGGAAAAATGGAGTGTACAGTCCAGCCACATTCTTGTGTGCCTGCGAGTTTGATAAATGAGGCTTCACATAGA